CCCCAACCCCCCAAACCACCCCAAATGGCCCAAAATACCCAGCCCAACCCGAAAAGTTAAAAAAAATTGGAAAAAAAAAAATGGCCCGAACCGGGCCCGGGCCCGGCCGGGTCGGGCCTTATTTTGGGTGACCCGAGCCCGGACCGGAAAACCCACGGGCCGGGCCTACCCGGACCGGTCACTGACCAGGCCATCGGGTCGGGCCGGAACAGTACCGGTCCCGGGCCGGTTCCGGGTCGGGCCACCCGGCCCGAGTCCATCCCTAGGCTGCCCCCGTCAGGCCGGCCTGACATGAAGTCTTATCCTTAATCTAATATATAAGTATAATTATGCGAAGTTATATTCTAAAACTACAATTAAAATTGAAATAATAAATATACTCCATGAGCACAATCACGACGTCAATGAGTTCAAAGTGGATGAGATTGTAAGAAAATACTAAACATATCTCCAATCTAAAAAAATATTAAAGTACTTTTTTAATAGAAGCAATTACAATGCTATTGAAACTCGATTCTTGGTATTTATACTTATTCATTTATGTAAATAAACTAACATCCAATTAGTTCCTTAAGTGGTTTAATATAAATTTAATATAAACGAGAATCATTATCACTGTCGCTTAGAATTACGAATTCTAAAATAGATAAATAGAACTATAAGAACTTACAACAAACAATGAATTTTTGGGGTGAGTCTTTGGAACTAAGAATTAGAAAATTGAACTGTTATGATCATTTCGTTTCGATTCCAACATTAATTAATTACTACGTATTAATTAACTATTCGATTTCTGTTTTTATTAACCATTCACTTCTCGATTCTTATAACAAATATGTATGTGAAACTGTTGACAAATTGTTATATAATGAATTAAGTTTTATCTATTACTTATTTGCAATGGAGCCAAAGATTCATTATTTTTTGGCTTGAGATTATGATGGAATAAAGCAAAATGGCTACCTAAACTGTTTGAGCTTCTTTGTCATGAAGCAGCAGTCAGTCCATGCAATTTTGGATGGGATTTTCACTATGGGTCATCCGGAAACAGTCTCTCTGTGCTTTAGTACAGGGGTAAGACTGCGTACATCCGACCCCCCCTTACCCCACCGTAGGTGGGAGCCTTTGCGGCACTGGGGTAAATGATAATGATAATGATAATTAGTATATATATTTAAATATTTATGTACTTATTTATTTTTTATATTAAATTAACTAATTCAATATAGTTAATAGAGTTGATAAATGAAAATATGACATAGGCCCGAACCTGAGTCCACCCCTAGTATTACTCACATAGTTTTTCTAGACAAAAACATGACTAGTTATGTTTTCAGACAAAATATGACTAGTCACTGTATACGAGTAACTATACAAAAGTCATTGTAGTATATTTCATATCAACAATTCACGGATAGAAAATGAGTTACCGGGAATTAGTCACTAAATATGTAACTTTTGTGAAAAATTTAAAATAAAAAATATTTTTGTGTTTTCAATTTAATTTAGTAATATTCATGAAAAAAGACCTTCATAAATTGATAAGTATTTAACCACTTCCTCTTATAATGAATGAATTTCTTTTTTGTTTCCTTCATAGTTAATAGAGTTGATAAATGAAAAATGACATGTGTATATTTCCTCTTTTTGTTTTCGGAAATTTTAGAAAACAAAATTTAGGGTTGAGATTCTATAAATAATTAATAAGAACTGAAGCAATATTAAGGGTTGAGATTTTTTTAAATGGTTCCATTTGTTTTCTCTAAGAACCAACTCAGTCCCAGACCTAGCAAATTTCAAACATTGCAAATATCAACACTAAAATTGCTACAATGGCAATGCATAAAGTTTTATTCAATATGAAATGGTGCATAAGTCATAACATTTCAAAGAAGCGAACACGAGACTTGTTCATTGTTGGCAACTTGGCATCAAAGGGTTTGAGTGCTCTGTAAAGATATGTCAGCAGAGTGTATCATAATTGTTGCTTTCTTATTTACCCAAGCACAAAACCTTCCGACAATAAAAAAACATTGTGCGTCGAACATATCGTTCACTGCATTTTTATTGAAATCATAATGAGTTAACATAGCGAGGGAGATATTGAAGGGATCAATGAATGATGAAGAATGGGGGAAATGGGGATAATGAGAAAAGATACTAGGAGAATAAGAAGTATCAAGGTTTTGGAGAGTTGGTGTAAGAAAAATGGGAAAATGAGAGGTATTTAATTATTTATAGAATGTTTTTTAAACTGTCCTCTCCGAACCCCACACACTTTAAGAGTCCTAAGAGCCACCCCCTAACAGCTCTATTAGAAAGGCCAATAGAAAAAAAAAAGGAGAAAAAGATATAGTCATCGGGGACCGGCTGATTCCAGTCCCCAATATTCTACCTGAATTGTGTTTTTCGGTTCTGGTCTAGCCCCGTGAACTCATTGTCGGTGTCGCCGCGTCGGGACCAGCTCCATGACTACTTCAGAGTTTGAACATACTCATTGCAAGGGGTTCTATCTGATGCAGGACCGAAAAGAGGCAAATAGGGTCAGATATTACCACCCAATGATCAATATACCTATTTACTCACTCGTGCATATGTTGGTTGTAGACTTTTAGTGCAGTACATAACACGGGGTCACTGGCGGAGGTAGGGGAGGCCCAACCTAGGCCCAAATCTACCTCAAATTTAAAAAATATCTTAATTATTAGTGCAAAAAATTCAATGTAAAAATTTTCAAAATGAACCAACCTAGTCCAACTCAATGCTCTAGCTACACCCTTGCTTGGGTGAATAATCCCAAATTTGGGTTTATTCCCTGTTGACCTCCCCATTGCAATGTCAAATGAGAACACACAAAAACAAATACTGTATAAGTTAAAACAAACATCTGAAACCCTGTTTCGCAAGCCAAGCTTGTTTCAACTATACATTTTTCTCTCCATGTGTTTCTAGCCCATTGTTAATGCCAAACAAAGTGCACATTTTGCTATATGAGAAATGAATTATCAAAACAGTTTCACTCAGATAGATAAATGAAGTTCAAATGCAACAAACAAAGGAATTTCAAATTCAAAATCTTACTACTTTCGTCAACTACAGTGTAAAAACCAAGGAAAAAACAATTACCTCTCAAATGGATAGCCAAATACAATAAAATGCTCAAACCCAAAATTCCCCAACTATGGCGAAGAAGCTTTGTGTTTTTTCAGTCTCTTCATTGTGGGGGAGATGGTGCTTAGCATCTTTCGACCTTTCTTTTTCAGCTTCCTCTTCTTTGATGCAAAGGGCATCTCTCTTACTGGGCCTGGGGGCACACCCTTCTTAAGGGCACTGCCCCGTGGGGTAGAAGAGGGTGGCAATCTCAAACTCTGTGGAGGCAATGGGCAGTGTGGTTTCCAAACCAAGTTGTTCTTCATGGCAAACCTAACCTTCTTTGACCTCTTCTCTTCACTCTTTGCAGCAGTAACAGAAAAATCTCCTACATTGTGTAAGTGAACGATACATGACTCTGTGTTATTGACAGTTTTTCCATTCCTTCTTTTGTTTTCCATAGGAATTTTAGGTTTATTGATTTCACCATCACCAACTTCGGTAGCTACTTTCTCGAACTGCATCTGTAGATTTGAAATGACAGTCTCAGTGAATACCACACTTTCGACCACCGGATTGTCTTTTATGGTCTCACCTGCCAATGCAATTTCAGAATCCTCTTTACCTTTACTTGGCTTTGAATTCTCTGTTAATCTAGGTGCGAAAACAGTTTCTGTGATTAGGGAGCAATCTTGAGAAGCCCGTTTTTTCTCTTCTTTCTTCTTACCAATTTTGTTGCTTGTAACCTGCATCATCTTAGCCTTCTTGCATTTTCTAGAATTTTCATCAGTTTGACCATCAGATGCATCACCCTTATTTGTCTTACTGTTCTCAATTGGAACCATATCAGGAATCTGCTCTTCTTCAATAGGAACCTTGGGAAGCACAATGTCAACCCTTGAGGTTTCAAATAGGTTCTCCAATTTCAAGAACTCATCATGTAACTTGAAAATAATTTTCCTGTTTCCCTGATGACATTCCAAAGATGAACCAATCTCAAAAAACATTGAGGAAAAACCCATCTTCATTGAAATCAAACCAAGAGCCACCTCTGCATAGCATTCATTGCTTTCAGCTCCTTTCATCTTCTTCTCGAGTAAACTCTTCCCAGTGTTTAACAACTTATCAAATACACAGCTCTTCACTTTTCCAACCAGTACCCTATCCTCAGACCTTTTAATTACTTCAAACAACGGCTTAAAGAAATACCCAACAACATCACAGGCAACAGGAACAGAACAACCACTCAACTCATCAAGCCAAACCGAAACGATGTGATAACACACTCCATTACCTAACAACTTATCCTCTGCTAAAAATGCATTATTGATAAAAATATCGACAACTCTACTTAGAAGCTCCACATTCCAGCTATGTTTCTTGCACAGAGAGAAAATTGAGTAAATGAATTTCCTAACAAGTAAGTAAAATTTATCGAGCCTCAAGCGGTCAATCCCAATCCATTCACGTTTCAGAGAGACGAGAAAAACAGAGAAATAATTCAAGGCAAGAGAAAGATCAAGATTTAGTACGAGTGATGATGCGCGGTTGATGAGATGAGATTGGGCAGGAGCCTTATCGGAATGCCACAGGCAATAGAAGAGTCCCTTCCAGAGCTTCTTCATATCGTCGTCTGCTATTTCAGATTGACTCAGCAGCCATACCTCGAGCAACCTCAGCGCTTTGGATCGGACGGGGGCGCTGCAGGAAGCTAAGTGCTTGATGAGGGCCGGGCCCGGAGTGACGGCGTCGAGGATGAGAGTTTCAGGTTTGGGTTTGAACTCTCTAGATCGCTTCTTCATTACGAGTTGAAGATCTACGGATCGTTCAAATGTGATTTCTGCAGAAGAAGTGACAGCAGAAACCCTAGGTGTAGTATGAATTGCTACATCCGTAATCTTATACTCCCTCACTTTGCCAACGTTATTTTTCTATTTCTTTTAAAAATTTGTTATTTTTCAGTTTAAAATAATAAAATTGTGATTAATTTATTTCTTTTATATACAAATCTAAGGGCTTTTTACATGAATATTACTAATTTAGAGCTAATTTCAAAAAATGTGATCAAGAAGGTCATATATTTGGAAAAACACAGTTCTACCAAATTTTTATGTCACTGTTAGTTTTATGTGAATTTTGAATGTCACTGTTAGTTTTCATGTCACTTTTATATGCTAGCCGTCAAACGTGTCAATGTGCTGTTAACCATGTCACTGTCGCATCGCTCATGTCACTGCCGCCGCCACGACCGCCTGTCATCATCGTCGGTCATAATGACACCACCGCAGTGACAACTCCATAGTGACATCTCCATCCCAACCTTTGACCACAGTGACTTATCCACCGCCTAAAACCGTTGGCCACCTCCGATCACCTCCGCGGGACACAGTTACACCACCACAGTGACATCTTAGTGATACACAATTACTCTGGCCAGTGTATTCCGGCCACCACCACCACCACCATCCCATTCCCACTGCGTCTCCCCCAAACATCGCCAACTTCTACTGCCCCTCTCCATCCCAACATCCCAGCACGGAAATCCCATCCCCAACCCCTTCCCCCCTCTAGCCCCGCCTCCCTGACTTGCCCCAGACCAACTCCCAAGCTTCAACCCCACCAACCGAACCAGATCCAGTCCTCCCCAACCCTTCTCCAACCAACCTAACCCCTGATCTACACCTCTGCAACCCCGATCAATCGAACCACATTTCCACCGCTTAAAAGTCCCAACCTCTGCCGCAAATCCATCACACCAAACTGCCGCCACTGTAGCCAAACTCTAGGCTAAAGGAATAAGGCTCAAGGGTTCAACGATTTTAGGTGCACCTAGCCGCAAATCTGTCACTGTAGCCAAACAGAAATCGGCGCAGGAGAGGGAGGGCGACGACGACGGGCGCGGAGCAGAGAAGCAGAGCGGATGGCGGCCGCCAGAGGCGTCGATTGCCGGTTGTGAGGTCGGATGATGGAGGAGCGATGAAGTAGCGAGCCTGCGATTGATGGTCCTCATGAGCGTAGATTTATACGTGGAAGAAGCGCAGATCTGGATGCGGAAGAAGCCTAAGAAATGGTCACTTTTTTTGAAAGTTTAATTTTGGCCTTATTTTTGTCTATTAAAACTTTATAAGTAATATTTGTGCCATTATTAAATCTAATTACACAATTTTCGGTTTTCTTTTTTTACTCTCTGTCTCTCCATACATGGTTAACCACGTCCGCAAAGATGGAGGTGCCATTCTAACTAATAGAACTAAATATATTTTGGTCCAGATTAGAAAATCAACTACAATGGGACTGGTTGGAGGGGGTCGAACCCTAAATGTTACTCCGTACATATAAGTCCGGTCTCTAGTCCACTACTAATTTGATTTAAGGTTCTAATCCAGTATGGTCCAAACTCGTAAAAAACTTGTTACTTGTCATAACCAATTAGACCGGATTATGTAAAAACAAGTAACGTAATTAACTAAATGCCTGAATACATAGAGGCGGGGGCATGCGTACACAAATATTTTGGAAATGAGAAATGTATGTCTTAAAATTGTATATAGGAGAAAAGGCGTGAGAACAAATGTTATTAATCACAAATTTTTCAATAGAAAAGAGAAGTAAATATTGGGACATACAAAAATGAAATAATGAAATTTATGGGGGTGCATTGTATGTGGAATTAGCGGTAAATTTTTAAAAGTTTATGAAATTCAAAAGCTCGGTTGTATTGAATATTGATTTTTAAAAGTTTATAAGGTAGTCTTCCCGTACTATTTTGAATCCGACGCCTGAAGACGAGTTTTGCAACTCGACAAGATCTTTTGAACGACATAGAAAATGCTTTAAATGGAACTAAATACAGCACGATATGATCAGATCAATTTCTACACGTGTTCGGAGAGAAATCAGAAATGGTTGTGAATTTCAGGTTAATTTGTACCATATACATAATGTGCATTGTGTTAGGTCCCTCTAAGATTTTGATGATGCACATATTATAGACTAAAAACTTGATCATGTACGTTGTAATTCACATATCCATGCATGAAAAAGTACGTACAAAAAAAAGTACCAAAAACAAAGAAAAGAAAAAGAGGCACTAACAAGAGTTGACTAAAGATGTGAAAATCAGTAGTCTGCTGATTTTAGGCAGCTGATTTTCATGAACAAATTCGCAGCTAAGTCTCAAAGTTACTCACAGTGAAACGGCAAAGTAAAAATTATTTACATTTGCAACTTGACTCCGAAAGGAAAGTCACGAGACTTAAAAATTAACAAGTGGACTGAAAACTTGTTTACTTTACAAAGTCAACCCATACTCTCTTATTTGATACAAGTGAAAGCATGGGCTCAAACAAAAGAACAAAAAGAGACTCAGGCTACTCCAAAACAAGACAAAAAGAGAGCTTCTTCCGAAGATAGAAGATCAAGTGGATGCATCAACATTCAAGATTGAATCTCTTCTACCAACGAGAGATATTCAACAACCTCAAGTCTATAAATATACAAAGGATGTGACGAAGAAGATTCAGCGAGCTTAGTGCAATCAAGACAATTACACTTAGAAAATCCTGCAAAAGATAAAGTGCTAATTCATCACTTGATTCTTAGCTCGTTGATGGACAGTGTACCCGGGGGTATCTATCTGAGGGGTTACTGCGGGGAGTAACTAGAGAGAAGTTAGAGCAAAAGTAAGAGAGAGAGTATGTATTTAATATGTGAACTTGTGATATTCAGCGTGGTTTATGATGGTCCCGGATAGAGGTAAAAGTCTAGAGGGGGGGGGGGGGGTGAATAGACTTTTAAAGCTTTTTCAACTTTAAAGCCTTTCCCTTCTAGATGAGTTGATCTATAATCGTTTGGGAGATTTATAGATGCACAGCGGAAGTCTTTAACCTCTTAGATAAATAGTGTATAACAACTTTCTATGATGGATGAAGTTTGGGCTTTATAAGGTGAGCAGTTGGCTAGAAAGCAGGGAACTGCTGAGGCAACTGCTAACAAAATACTCAGTGTATGATGAAGGTGCACTCAGAATCTTTCTTAGAGTGGGAGGAGCTTTATGATGATGTACTGAGGTGGATTGATAATCAACCTTAATGAGAGCAGTGGTCTCAGCAGTTGGGTGGTAACCAGAGAACTGCTGAGGCACCTGCTTAAGTAAAAGTGAAGGTATGGAAGGATTGATTATATGGTGTTGCTCAGGATGATGTGGGCTTTCTGAAGATGTGCATTGGACCAAGTAAGTAGAAGGTTTTACTGAGGCAGTGGTCTTGGCAGTTGGGTGATAGTGATGGAACTGTTGAGGCACCTGCTGGGTTATCACCTTGAATCACTGAGATCAGTTTGAACAGACTTCTTAGAGATAAAGATGTGAAGGTCTGGTAATTGTTGGTCCCGGTTGTACTGGATACAGTCTAGAGGGGGGGTGAATAGACTGTATTGGTTTTTAGCTTTTTAAACTAAGTACCAGATTTTACAGAATAGCCTGTTCTGTTGACAGAACAGACTGGCAGCGGATGGGGTTCTGGTAGGGGGTTCTGTTGATTTAGCCTCAGAGAAGCAAAGGCAGTAGGCCTTCTGTTAACTCGTAAGACAAGTTCTGCTGAACACAGATACCAAGTCTAAGGAGTTAAACAGTTCTATCTAAGTGTAAATATTTAAAGCAGTAAGTAAATGACACCAGGGATTTTTATAGTGGTTCAAGGAACAACTCGTTCCTCTAATCCACTGTTCCACTAAGCTTGTAAAAACGACCGTTTACAACGCCTTAGTCCTAGCACTTAAGAAGCTCTCCACGTCTTCTTCAAGCCTAGTTGTCTCCTGGGATGCACTGCCTGGCTTCCTTTAAGACTGGTCCTTTCACTGAGCTTCCTGGAAGTATCACCACTTCACTACTCCAGTTACTTGGACGTCCTTCTTGTAACAAGAAGAGTTTCTGTTGAAACAGGGGTTCCTCCAACTTGCTTCGTTACAAAAGATTTGTAGATGAAGTGCTTGAAGTTGTTGAAGAACTTTTGGAACCTTGCTCTAGTTGGATTAGATGATAGGAATGTATATTCTTTCCAACTTGTGTCTCTCTTGTTGAGGATGAAAAGTTTGAATCTCAAGAGGACCTTTTCTGCCTTGTGTAGTTTGAGTGTGTTTTTCTTGTAAAGACTGTGGTGAAGTTGGCAAGGTTAGTAGAGAAAAAGTTGTTTTGTTGTTCTTCGTAGTGTATCTTTTATACTGAGGGTTGTCTTCCCGTTGGAGGTGAAGGAGGACAACTGCATTTAATGCGCGAGCAGTTGACTTGACCAGTAGGACCTGGTAAAGTTGGCGGGTTACTATTTTGGGATAAAGTAATCCTGACATTGCGGCCAATCATCTGCAATTACTCTACGGAGCATGGGGAGCATTAAATGTGCATTTAATGCTGGCACTGTAGCGTTTCCGTACAAGTCTCCTAGCCGTTTGAAGGAATCTTTTCAGTTGATTTCCCGGCTTTGTGAAATTCTTCCAAGTGTCAGGCCTTCTGGTATCTTTAGCAGAGAGTTGATCAGAAAAGGTCTTGAGCACTTCTGTTGATAATAGCTTACAAAGTAAAGGCTAATCGGAGACCCTGAGGTTTTCTGTTCCTCGGCAGAGAACCAAAGATCTTCTGTCACAGGTCTTCTGGTAGGGAGGCCTTCTGGTAGTCGATTATGTTAAGAACTTTACAAATGAAAATTCTAATACATTAATTCTAGAAGGGGTACTTAAAAGTCCTAATTAATATAGCATCATCAAAATCTAATTACAAATATTCCTTACAATTTCCCCCTTTTTGATGATGCCAAAACCCTTTAACTATTTCCAGAGAAGTGCCTTCACCATAAGGAATTAAAGTTTAAAACTTCCATTAAAATCTTGGTGGGCAACTTGGCATAGGAAAATAGTA